TCTGAGGACATAGACTGTGGGTGTTTTTTCTAGAAAAGTCTAGAAAAAATCAAAACAAGTATCGACCAGATCTTTTTCCTTTCGTTTGGCCATGTTGCACACTACTAAAACAATCCCATGGGAAACCTAAGACATATGCTCGCTTGAGCCACCTATGATTGGTCAAATGGCGAAGTATTTCCCGATATTCGGATTTAGAAACTGAAACTTGTCCGAGCAGTGAGAAACCTGTTGGATAGCATGCGAACCACATGACCAGCTCACGACCAACGATTAATATACTAAACACTCTTGGATTGAATGGTGGAAACCAGTATGTCCTCGGCCTGGCTGATAGACTCAATACACTACAAGGTTGTGGGGAACTCTTCGGCAGCCCACGACCAGTTTGACCTCCTTGGGGCTCATCAGGGGTCGCAATCGAGTCTTCGGCCTGAACCTAAATAGGCCAGGAAGCTTTAAGCAACCCTAAGAGTGTGTTAATTTCAGATAATGCATAGTTATATCTCGAATATCGTATTAACTGAGAAATAAGGCCTTGTGAAGCGCATTCAGTTGAAGAATAGCATAAACGAGAGATTCGACTGAGTTCTCCAGTATGCAGATGAGTGCAATTTGTGTTCAAGTAGAACATCAAGTTGACTGATGGAGAATCGGAGACTGAGCATGCCTAATGAGCCCGAGGTAGAAAGGCGAAACCAGTCCTGGACTGCTGTTGAAGAGTTTCCAGTAGGCTTGTGAGTAGTTTCGTTTATGAAAATATACTGCGATATCTCGAATACTGTGCCACTTGGAACATGAGGTGCAGCACATTCAGTTGAAGAATATCCTAAACGAGAGATTCAGTCGGGTTGCAGGTGAGTCACCCATGGAAACCGAATTCGTATGCAAATGAGTGTATCTATCAAAAGGACGGACAGGTACGGTAAGCATCAATGCCCTGCGCGAGTAAACTGTGACGGCCGAGGGTAGAAAGTTCAAGTGAACACAGGAGAGGATTAGGGTTTACATTGAGGTGCTTACTAGTTGAACTGTCGTGTGAAAACCAGTGGGGTTATCAAAGACCAAAGCAGTTGAATGGAAACCGCAGCTGTCTGTTCGTTTACTGGAAGAATGAAATATGTGGCCATTCTACCTACATGGTTGACAAAACGTGCTTTGCCGTTGGAAATCACAGGTGACTGGCGGTCAAGTGGACGTGAATTAAAGATTGGGAGGGAAGCTAAGAATCTATATGTATGAGGCAGGGGTCATATGGTTGTACCAGCTCACACTTCACTTCGGTAAAAGATGCGAGAGATATGTTCTAAGCTGGATCAACAAAGCACTATTCCGTCATTTGGAAAACCGTGGTCAACAGATAATCAGTAGATGGGGATTGAAGTCAACAATACGAGCTAGCCGGCCTGCGTGCGACGTCAACAAAGACGTATGAAAATGCACTAGCCATGAGGCAACAGAATGTTCTGCTCAAGCAGCGGATTTCTCCATGCTTCAGTGAATGATCGCGATTCGTTAAGGAACGTTACAGTTCACACCGGCCATGCATGGGACTAAACAAGGAAAAAATTACAAAAACAGGCCTCAAGAATACTCTAGCATCAGGGGTTTTCGGTTGGTGGTGTCAGTGAAGAGTCTCGTGGTTATGGTAAGGAGCACACTTTGACGCAGTTCCGTAACCTCCAAATAAGTCCCAGTTGTCTTCTACTCATTAATGATTGCCGGCGGAAAGTGTATGGTGGAGAAGTCTGGGCTCGAAATCGCGTCCGGTGCAGGTAAAATGAGTCAACCAGCGCTTTTAAACTGTGGAATCGACCAGTCATTGAAGATACGTCGGTAATCGGGCCGGACTAATTGGGCACGGCATCGACCAGCCGGATGAAAAATGAGATACGAAGCGCGTACTCGACTATCTCACCCGTAGAGATGTTTCCGTACTATTTCAAACATGGATTAGGGAAATTGAAGCATCTACTAGCATGGAGGTCTGGTTCCCAGCGCCTTATTCAGTGGGCAGGCAAAATAAGTCCAACTTCGTGTTTGCAATGCCAGGCATGTGTTTATGCAACCTAACTCCTGGTGGAGAAATAAAATCAACATGTACAAGAAAACTGGGTGCTGAATGCAGTCATTTGCATCAAAGGTACTCGGGAAGCAGTTTTCTGAAGACTGGATTCTTCGACGATTCTTGAAGGAGAAGTACTGGAACGCCGTCACGACCTCCTACACCTGTGTCATCTTCAACAAGGCTTACAATGACTCGAGCAATTACACTATATGATCCCTGTCCAAGAGCTACACTGTCATGCTTGAGGAACAATGAATATTTGCCTCGGGACTGTTGAGGGGGATACGATACACTTAGCATGCTAATGGTTTACGGACTGGTCAATCGGACCAACGCTGAATCAAATTTGTGCAAGCCTAACCACCGATTACCATGCATGCACACAAAAGACTTTAAAAGCTGACTCACCCTGTCTCAGAAGTGACGTCGCACGGTTGGTAGCAATGCTGATATGACGATGTTTAGCAGCAGTGCCAACACTGATTTTGCTGTCTTTGATGATGATGATTGGTAAAGTTAGGATATGGGTGCGAGGCAGGCACCTCGCAAAGGTGCAGCCGCCGTGTGGCAAGGCAAACCTAACCCTTCAACACCGCAGCACCGGAGAACTACGTAGTCTTAATTTCTGAAGCTAGCGAGAGATCCAAGAAACCGGAGGTTTTGTGCACACTACTCCCCACTTCTAATCAGCTTAAACCACAAAAAGTTGCGACTGAAACACTACTAGTGAATCCACACAGTAGTAAAAATCCCAACCTACTGCCAATGCGGTAGCTTGCGGTCGCATGATTGCCAGCGAGATTAAGTCCGAGCATTCGGGGTCAGGACGAACGATTGCGGGTCTCACCACTTCCTTATACGCCCCCACACAACAGGGAAAAATACAACCAAGGAGATGAGTGAAAACGAGAGAACTTCACAATGAACCTTGTGTTTCGTTTATCGGGCACACCTTTACCAAACAGTGTCGGAGTTGGATGGCCCCACTCAGACTGGTCACAGGAGATAGAGATAGATATCATGAAAAATAAAAAAGAATGACAATTGGGAAACTCATTGCCATTTTGTGGCCACGGGAAGAGTCCGCCGACAGACAAAAATATATTTACAAATATCATGTAAACGTTACAAAAAAGCGTGTCTGCTCAGTTGAACCGTATCCATAAAGATGTGTCCGTGTGGGAGAGACTGGATGACAAAATGCGGATAAAAAAGCGAAACCGCAACTCCCCGGAGAGGGGAGTTGTTCATACCGGACACGTTAACGAGAAAACTAGCAAGAAGGTGGGATGGTAGCACACAGACGGTCATCAAGTATCGGCGAATACACCGAGGTAACGCTGATGAACAGAGGCAGATGAGAATCACCTTGCCGCTGGATAGAGAGGAGCTGGCGAGAACATGAACTAATGCTACCAGAAGGGAGACAGACACGTAGCGGCAGAGACAAGAGGCCGTCGAGCCGACAGAATTGCGACCTTAGGAATGGCTATTATCTCCGAATCATGCAGTCAAGTGAGACAAAGAGAGCAATTTCAAGTGTGGAATAGGAAGAACAGTGAAAGATAACGGAGAGAGTCGAAAGTTGGAGTAGAGACGACGAGATAGTGGAAACCACGACGCCTGAGGCAAAAAGAGAATAAACGGGTAGGTCAAATGCGGAGGTCTGGAAAGCAAATCATCGACAGCCGGAAAGGATAGGGCAGGGACGAACATTCTTTGCTCAAGGAACATTGAGAACGCATGCGCGTTTCTCGAGGAAGGCTTTGGAGAACTGGGATATTTGTTTGGATCTTCCGAGAGAGGTTTCAATAAATTCAACAACCTTTGGGGGAAGAAAAGAAAAAGGATAGCCAACCGGTGAAACATATATATATATATATATATAATCGGGAGCTAACCAAACTCGTCCAACGGTAGCGGCCATTCTATTCACATACAACGATCGTACAATTCGCAAAAAGCACAAGAACTTAAGGGTAGTAACGTGTTCATGATACAAAATCCAACAATCTTCACAAGAGTGACCACTTCAAAGAATGTTGCCTTTTGTTCTCTCTTAAGAGGGATCGCACACTAGACAATGCCTAATGGAGAATGCTGCTGTAGACCCTCCGATAAATTGGACCTCTCAGTGTGGTATAGTTCAGTCGATTGCATGAGCAGTCAAAGTGCTCAAGTCACCAGATGATTCAACCATAAACCACATACTCGCGGGCGACTGAGGTAGCACCAATGAACTTAAACCTCGTCACCATGTAGGCCTCGGACTACTCGAAAGAAGCTATTAGTGGAACAACCCCTTGCTACTTATCTACAGCAAATATCAGTTCCCACTAAAGCTCCTGTAGGTGATAGCCGATATGTCGCACAGAGCTCTGGTGAATGGGTTAGGCTTGACGTGATAGGCTACCCTAGCATGTGAAAACAGGTTAACAAGAGTGCGACCACATTGCAACTGGAGAAAAGCCATTTGACACGAACGGATTGCGAAACAGCTCAGCGACTTCGACCTGTGGTGTGGGAATGAATCAACTGGCTTCCAAAGCCCTTGTAGATCACCATACTCGAAAGCGACGCTAGAAAAAATATAGTACGTCACAATGAATTGCATTATGAATAAAGATGCGGACAGGGATCTTAGGAAAGAGAAACAACGACGTACGATGTGATCCAACTGCGTGCTTACGCGAAAAGATGCAGGATTCAGTGTTATACGCTACTAGATTTTATCCAAAGCAAAATCCCTGTTAACAAACGATGCGAATTAGTGGTGAGTGAAGCTTAAGACGTTCAGGAGCTCACCCCAACTTAGGATGCCTTGGTAGGAAAATGAGTCCATTAAAAAACAATGAGTCGTTTTTGCCGTGGCATAGCCACAATGCGACCCAAAGGAAGCACGAGGGTTGAAGTACTGCCCGCCCCAAACAAATCAGATATTTTGGGTCTGGATAGCAACGTATACGACCTGACAGGCTTGAAAGTGCACCAGAAAAAATAAGCGGGGAGCGCATACATCTTCAGTGACAACTGGTACAAGCGCTGTGGAAACAGGGACAGGAATGGACCCACAACTGGTTACCTGCTCGGCCGCTTCCAGTTCACACAGAAGATCCACCAGAGTGGGAAGATCCACGCCGGACAGTGGCATTGAAGACAGTTGGGACTCACACCAGTGCGCCAGCTGCTCCTTCGCCGCGTACGAGGCAGCTTCACGATTCACTCGGGTATTCTTTTGAAATACAGACGACGTAAACAACCACAATGTCAGAAATATTGCGGGCATATATCCAAAACGGCTGTGCTGCATAAAACCCCACATTATTCTGGCTAATAGTGGGTGGATGCCGTGTAGTAGCGTGGCTGCTAACACTATAACGAACCGAGAACAGCACTATGCGTTCAATCTGAGAGGATTGTGGCCAGGTGGAGGTACTCTGCAGGTTATCGCACATTTATTGTTTACAAAAATGTCATGTATTGCTTGTCCGTGAGCCAGATGATGCAACCTTTTAGATCGGTGAAAAATATTATCATTTATTTGACTGTTGCATAAGACAGGCTAGTGATAAGCAGAGCGACTATAAACTGAGACGAACACGATGTGACGTAGTGAACTACAAGGTTGGAATGATCATCATTGGTTCAAATGTATCAACGTACATGGCCTATGGAGAACTTGATAACTTAACTGCTGCGGTGCCTGCCGCTCTGATTTGACCAAATTGATCGCATAAGACAGGCTGGGTGAGGAGATGAGCAGGTGTCGAGATTAGTTTTCAAACTATCTGCCGAAAATTAACGAATATACACTCATATGCAAACTATTTTGGTTTTTCGAGAGACCCACCTGGAACCCAGCCAAATCTCTCGTTTGTGATGTTCTCAGGCAACTGAATTTGCTGCACCAGGCCGCCTCATGCTTCAGTCGCTACGATATACGAGATATCGCGATACATGTATATCTCTGTAATTTACTACTCATAAGGTTGCTGTCGACGGACTTCCAGCAACTTTATGAGTAGTACATTACAAAGATATATGCAGAAAAAATTCGTAGTGCTGATAAATTAAACCAAGCCTGACCAAACAATATGCACCGACGAGTGTACCCATTTGGATCGGTCCGCAATTCTCGTACGGATTAATCGGTTACATCGACCGAATCAGACAAAGTGCTGGACAAAGACGAGGCCGGCTTCAACAGAGGTTCTTCTAACACAGCATATGACCAACGAGTAAAAAGACAAGTGTACTTTCGTTGTTGCTCGACAGAATGTGGTAGCATTTACTAGTTGCCTGAAAAATGGGAATGAGTTAGAATGGGAAGGGCTGGGATTAGCGTAAGATACTACTGGATGAGGAGTGACGGTGAAAAGCGGACGGAATCCTTTTGCTATCCGCACAATTGCAGACCGAGTGGTGCATTTTCATTCAGACTTTCATATGTAACTTGTTCACGTGTTCCGCTGCAGCCAAGTGCCAAAGCAAAACAAGCTGGTTTCGCATTCATGTTATCTTCCCCTTCCCTTGAAAAAATCCCCTTGATAATGAGGTATGGCAACCGACCTTTTAAGGACTGATTTGGTTCGAACAGCGGTGATACGTATGACACCTTACAGATTTGATGAAAACTATTCGACAGCCCTTCTAGGGTTCATTAAGTAGGCTTACTCCCCCACATTGCAATCAATCTTATTCTAGACTGGTGTAAGCGAAGTTAAGGACTCATGTGCAAACCGAAGTGGTGTTAATCGGAGACCCAAATGAACCCTTCAACTAAACGTGCTAACCAAAGACCTTCTCAAGTTTTATATTTTCCTTAATATGACACTGCTCATAAGGCTCGCGAGTTTCCATGACACTTCTTATTAAGGTTGATTAGCCTCAAGAGGGTGAAATCTGTAATTGGCTGTCCATGAGTTTTTATCAATCTTACGAGTAGTGTCACATGGAGGAAAATACTCCGATGCATTGGATATTGGAAACATAAAATGGCCTCTCTGCGGAACATTTGATTAAAGAGTATCGAGCGAAGAATTGAATGGGATCTCTCATTGGCATCGCCCTAATTTGCGAATTCATGTTCAGTAGCACCGTTATATACTTGGCAACTGGAGAGGGTAAGTTGTATAAAACGTGATCGAATAGGGTGAAGTGCGTTGCGAATGATTGTGTTCGCTAAAGTTCATGGATGGCAAACTATGACCCAGCTCGATGAAAACTAAACAGTCCTGTTTGAAAGCCCCGGCGGGAAACACGAGACTTGGGACTTGACGATTAGTGGTGGGACCGAATCCGACAAGATGACAGAGCCTATCGAACTAAGGTGGACATCGAAAAACCGATGAGAAGTGTGAGAAAGGGCGGGAGATAAATCAACTCAAGATGTAAGGTTGACAGCCTGCATAAGTAGCCACTTAACGTACGTCGGGTGTAACAACAATCCCTGGGATGTATAAATCCTGGCCTGGAGTCAAACGCACAGCCATTAGTAGTGTTCGCTCACCTCATCTTGAGCCATGAAGGATAGTCCGTCAATGTTGTAGATAACGCCTACGCGTAAAGCGGCTACCGATTCTCACAGTCAGCAGTATCAAACACACCATTGAATGGGAAATTCTTAACAAGACCGTCGTCTTTAGTGAACACAAGACAACTTCAGAAGGTAAATGCTGAAAAACGACACAAAGCTGTATCTATAGCTTAAGAACGAAGTCGCAGAAAACCACCATAGACTTGCGTAGGGACTTAGTTCGACTTCAGGGAAAGATAGGAAAGCCAAGAGCTGGAAAACCACAATGAGCACCCAGCATAGCGTCATTAAGGCTCTTCACAGGAAACACTTACCCACGGTGGATTATTTTACAGTATTGAAATTATCACCAACGGTCGACAACTTCAAAGGAAACTAGAGCCGACTGCAGTGGCGCTGAAGACAGGAAGCAAAAGATCGTTTAAAAACTGTTTTAGGCGGTGAAGAGGTTTTGAAGTCTTAAATCTAGATCACATCCTGCAAGTAAACTCAACGGATGTTGAGGAGCCAGGAAGCACTGTATAGCCATTTTGCTCTTGGACAAAATGATCAGCAGTGCGATTATCTTGCAGTTAGGCAAGATGTAGCGCCATTTGCCATTCAGCTAGGTAGCTCAGGCTACGTGCTGTTGTTGACTGGCCGCACAGCACAGGTTGAACTCAGTTGCAGGATAGGATCCAGATTGAAAAGCTGCCCAACCGATTGTTCTTCAAAAAAAGTAACATCATTTGTCCAATGGTACTAATCCGATAGAGGAAAATGAAGAACGGGACTCATTCACAGAAAATCTCCCAAAATAAAGGGCCATGGCCAAACTACACTTCGTACGGAACGTGTGTACCAAACTAGTGATATTGATTATTAATGAAAGTTGCGCAATAAGCGAATGTGTCTCGTTTAGGCTTACTATCACTACTGGGATGCTCAGCAATGTCCAATCAACGGCCAACAAGGAAAAGGAACTATCAACTTTTCACGCTTCTGCGCACGTGACAAAAATGACCTTGACGAGTTGCACGTCCCTATCAACGAGAGATCACGTGACTGGGATTGGGGATTACGATTGTCCTAGATAGGAATTTTAGCAAACCCACACGTCCCCAGAGCATTAGCTGTCAGAAACTTTTTCGGAGAATAACAACCCAGGATGCTGACCTGTACCTTTTTCTTATTATGCTTTTTCGAATTCTTCCCGCTTGACGTGGCGGACTCTGTTTTCCCGTTACCCGGCAAGTCCCAGATCGAGGGACCAGCGACAGCAGAACTGGATGTCGAGGTGCCAGACACGGCTGCTTTCGTTGTTCCCGTCGAGGCTGTAACCGCTGATGCTTTCGAGTTGAGTCCAGGAACAACAGAAGTATTGCCATTTTGTGACTAAGAGAGAAAGTGGCAGAAACGCACAAAGGTGAAAATCAGTAGGTCATAAACTAAACTCGTATGGGCTACAGGGCTAAATCTGGGGTGGGACGTACACGTACGCAGTAACTGACAGAAGTACCATAACCAATCGACAGGTTTCCTCCTTCTTCGAGCTCATCAGGTTGGTACAGTTCATGAGTTTCCGTCAACCTCTTATCCTACATAAACAGTCATTTGTATACCGATTCGTTTTCACGGGAGACTGACCTGATCAGAGCTGAGTCTCTCAATCATGGCATTCTTCGACATTTCGAATATCGTACCAAGTGAAACAGGGGGTAGCCTTTGTACAGCACATTCAGTTGCAGAATATCTCAAATGTCTAGACTTGGACAACCTAGCAGTATCTCAGCCCTCGTGCAACCCTCGGGTGGCATGGGACCGAAAGGGTGCTACAGCTGAGCGATTTCTTTCAAATAAGAGATGCAGCTCAGTTTCGGGCGACTCTCCCGTGGAAACCAAATTTGTATGCAAATGAATTTTTCGAAAGAGTGACACTAAGTTGTTTGGTAAAAGAGCCGAATGAACCAAGTGAAGGCTCGAAAAGACAAGTCTCTTTGAAAACGATAAGGCTGTAGCAAGGCGAAATGGACTATTAGAGCGAACCGGTAGAATCAGCCACATATTATAATCGTGTTTCGTTTATAATGCATTAACAATCCGTTGATCCCTCAGGCAATATCCTTGCTTGTTCGAGGGGAATAGGCGCCAAACCAACGGGGAAACGGATATGACAACACACCGAAACGAGGGCGGAGTGAGTGTACCATAAGAATCAGCATGATTAAGAAACACGATCCACCTAAGACCACTCTCAAATAAAAGATCACTTGAGAAGGCAAGGTTTGACTCAAATGATGGAATTTTACGGGCAGGAATAAGCAGCGAATGGTCGGCCACAAGATGCAAAGCGTTCGGAGTGCAATAGACGGTTGTACGGTGGAAATTACCTACATACGTCTGAAAGCCATTGCCAGCAGGGCCGATTGGCTAGATTCAAACAGCATCAGGTCTGTTGGGCGTGAACAGGGCATAGTGGCCTAATACTCATGAAGTTTTCGGGTTGTTTTGGCTAAATAGTTATTGATTATTGCGGAAGAGAGGAGAATGCGGTGACCGTCTACTGCGTGAGGGTGGCTATGCTCTAACACTGTTTTGGATTACTGCAGACCACGAGGAAGGATCCACAGTAATATGCAGGGTGTCCGTCAATTTTGGTTCCGTCGACAGCCCACGGAGGTAGGTAAGCCCAAACGATTGTGGTCTTCGTGATTAACATCCAGAGTTTCAGCTATCCACAACTCCAGCGATATTATCCTAAAGATGGCTGTTGAAATAGTGACACCTTTGTCAACTCAGAACACAGTTTACACGATACATGCCCGAACCACTGTCGACATCGTCGAACGAATTTGGAAAGACGAGAAATGCTATAGTAACATTCAGACATCGTCATCTGACACACCGTCAAGCTACCGGACCTCCAGTGTGCACCGAAGATACCAGTGATCAAACATTTCCGGTTTGTGAAGATAATCAACTCGAAGAGATCAAGTTTCACATGTATACATTTGTCCCATTGGAAGGTCACCTTGTACACATCAAGTTTTGTAGTGAGGTTGATTTCTCAGCGTTTCCAAAGAGCACTACACGTCTGCTTTTCTGATGCCGTCAAACTGTTAGCTGACTTTTTCTTTGGCCCATTAACGATCAGGGGGAGGGGCGAGATGGCTGAGTGGTTAGAAATCAGAGGATCCGTGGTTCGAACCCGACCTCTGCATCTCGACTGTCTAGGCTTGGCAACCTGGAAGTATCTCGGCCCTCATGCTTCCTTCGGATGGTATAGCAGCTAGGCACCGAAAGGGCGTTAGAGCTGAACGATTAGTGTTCAGGCTATAAACGGTCATATTGTGAATTGGAAGGTAGTACGCGCTAATAACATTGTATACTGTGAAAGATAACATTTTGCAGTTACTAAGTGCACCTAGTACAATATTATTAGTGCCAAAAATGGAATAAGTCAACAGAAGATCTGTAGTTTGAGCGTAACTGGTAAGAGACCCTGAACGAAGGTCCGGACACGGAACGTGTTTCCTTTGCGGCATGAATGCTATATGTGTTCCGTAATTGTCCTTGGATCTGTGGAGTTTGGTTGTTGCCTGTCTTGTGTGCGGTGTCGAGTTGCATACGTATTCATTGTATGTAATGTGAAAACACAAGTGGCCACTCCAGTTTGAGAGTTGCATGAACGAACTGGGTCAAGGTCGTAAGCGCGGCACGTGATGCGGGTGGTATCAGCACGAACAAAATGGATGGGAAGTTATACGTGTACTTTACAGGTAGAACTAAGCGAAATGGTCAAAAAGTCAATTAAGAAAAGGTGAGCAGCTGCAAGCCTCATCATCTAACAAAACTGCTGCATTTCAGGAAAGCAACTTGGACGATTCCTTTGATACTGAAGGAGTCCAGTCCGGTGGATAGATTTAGCCTTGTGCTGGAGAACTCAGTTTTTGCAAAGTGTTTGGGCTGGGATGAGTACCCGGATGATCTTGTAGGGAATAATATATTGTTCGGTCACTCACGAACTTAAACAGCACTGGTGGGCAGCCTCGCCGTATAACGGATTGCAGGTAAAATATACACGTATATGAACTTTCGTTTCAGCCGTCAGCTAAGCACAGAAAGCCGAGTTCGGCAGATCACTTCTTGCAGTTACTCACGGGAACCCCACCTTTTTCAGAAAGGTCGGAAGAAGTGAAGACGTACACGGGTATTATGACCGGATAGACTGACCATTCTTTAAATCGAGCTGTTGCAATCTTTGATACGAGGTTTATGGGGATCGTTGCCCTGAGCAAAAAGTGCTTCAAGAAGGCCTGAATTATAGTTGGATGGAGCCTAGAGGCAGGTTCTGTGTCCTGGAATTCAATTCATCGAATGTCAAACACAGACAGGCGTCTCCTAGATGTACTTAATCGATTTGATGGTCATAAACACTCGCACCATGATCCATTAACATTCGACGTCCACTGGTGAATCAGTGTTAACTGCATTTCTGAGTTTGAGAGGCTTAGCTTGTCATTATTGTCTTTGGGCCACGCGCAGCACATCACTTCAGATGATGCCGTAAGGTGGAATCCTCAACACAAGTGTGATTCAGGAATACATCCATTTCTAACAGGATAACGCCCGCGGTCCTGCGCTGCTTCTGCTCGGAGGTATAACTCTGTCATTTGTACAGCAATTTGTAAGGCGATAGGCTTAAAAGGGATAGCCACAGAAGGGAACCATCATTGACAACCCTAGAATCCAGTTGGTCCTAATCGTCCAATTTGCTAAAATTGTCTTCAGATGCTGGGTTGAAACCAGCGTTTAACCAAACCCTCAAGATGGACAATCAGTGAACCGTTACCCCCACCATAAAACGGAGCAATTTTGTTCAGCCGTAGCACCCTTCCGGTGCCTAGTTGCCATGCCACCCGAAGGGAGCACGAGGGCTGGGATACTGCCAGGTTGCCCAAGCCTAGACAGGGAAGTCGAGAGACGGAGGTCAGGTTCGAACCCACGGACCTCCCCGCAAGAAATTCGCGCTCTAACCACTGAGCCATCTCACCCATAAAACGGAGCACCCGCTTTCTTGTGAAAAAACGCTCACCATGATAAGATGGTCAACAGAACTCCCCTAACATGGACTGCATGTTAGCAAGTCTCTCCGAAACACCTCAGTGGAGAGTAAAAATGTCTTCACGGGTTTTCAAAGGCCATGCTAAGGAATTGATGATAACTAGATCAAGGATCGAATGTTTATACTAATGGCCTGGAACTGCCAACAGTGGGCTCCCACGTCCCACCTTTTGAAGTCCATCTGATGAGTTTCAATAAGGAATAAAGACTTTGTATGGACGAGGCTCCTGAAATCTAATGATGTTTCTAGTCATACCAAATTCGCTATGGAAAAGTACGGCCAAGATGGATTACCCTAGCCGGTCATTGAGGAGAAAAAAACAAAGCGAAGGGGACAATCATGTTGTAGATGGGAAAACATCTCAAAATTAAGATTACGGTGTACAGGAACACATCGAATTGCGAAAGATATTATCATATAGAGGGTCGTTAGACGGGGCATTGTACTTAATTATGCAGTAACTGCAAACACATGGGTTAGCTGGTAAACGGCCGGCATGTGACCAAGTGCGGTCGCACCAGAGAGAGGAAAAAAATAACATGGACCACGAATATCAAGATCAAAGGTACTGATAATGTGGTCTCAATGCATTTGAAAGTTAAACGTACCGATTTAGTGCGCTCATTCTGGCTAGCTCCTTTGACTGCGGGAAACTCTGATTTCGATAGAGGGCTCTTCATCATGGGAACCTGCTTAGCTGTACCTTTCGCAGTGGTATTCACTACGGAAGCCCAAGCTTGCTGAGTTTTTTGATGGGCTGCCTCAGCTTCAGCAAGCAGAGCAGCCTGTTCGGCCAGAAGAGCATCGTGCCTCTTTCGTTCCGCCTACATGAATACAAAATCATATCAGGTAAGGTTATCAGAAGTGCGACCGAAAGACACAGGGTACATTGGTTATGTGCTGTTAATCAGGAGCAACCGTTATACTTTCGGGTGTATCATGAGCGTGGAGTAGGTGGTAGAGGTGGGTAGAGAGCGTATCTGCAACTCATTCTACCAGGTGCAATAATGAGCGGATTGACCTCGAAACAAGGGTTACCTAAAACAGTGGATCACTACCACAGTCCTACACTTTCTCATTTTAAGATGCCCTGACATTTCTGAGGCGTACCGATCTAACGATGACTATATTTGAAGCTGAGATGTCCATGGAGTGGATGTTAAATCTGTGACCTGTAGCCCGAAGTCAAACACACCCTAGGCAATTTAATTTCATATCAAATTACCTTAGGGTCTCTATTGGGATTCCAGCAGAGTTACCTTAGGAAGGTCATCGAGGCGCCTTAGAAAAAATTCGGGGAAAAGTGTACATGCGAGAGTTTCGTGAAGGAATGAAAGAGACATCAGCACACGAAAACAACGAATGGTCTGCGTTGAGGCTAGTTTCTTACCGAACACAAAGTAGGCAAGTGCCGAACAAATTATAACATGCAATAACAATAATAATCGTCCAGCTGTAACACCCTTTCAGCGCCTAGCTACCATGCCACCCGAAGGAAGTCCGAGATACTGCTGGGTTGCCAGAGTTTAGACAGGGGCAGTCAAAATGCAGAGGTTGGGTTCAAACTACGGCTTTTCCGATCAGCAACTTCGCTGAGCCACTGAGCCATCACGAGAGTGCAACAGTGAAGTGATCACATCAAGATGGAGTTTGCGAATTCTGAGGGCTATTAAAACTGATTTTTCAACCCAATTTGGGATGAAGTAGTTCCTCATCATGTGGACGAGGTCAAAAGCACCACATCTAACCACAACATCGATGGTGACAGAGGACGGGAGTGATTTAGCGGTCCCTATATCAAGGATGACGAACACCACTGTCTCACTGTGAGGGCAAAGCACGATATATTCATCGGTGTATTCAGGTTGTATGTGGGCCTGGCACATTGCGCAGACAACAGAGTAACTTGGCTCCTATGTGATTTACAGGTGAATAGTAACTCCCCTAATCTGGGTCGACAGCTACTCAAACATTGTCCAAAGATACCGCTCGGAAAAAGAATACAAGAAATTTCTAGGGCTCCGCAGACAAGATGGTCGTTCTAGATTTCAGCAGAATTAAGGGACGTGGATCCAAAGGAATAGCGGTTCGGTATTGCGGAAACTATCAGCTCGAAAACAAACAATATAAGATCGAAAAGGACTTTAGCAGTGAGACTCGGATGTTCTCTTTTTTAATTTCCAATGTCGCACACCTCCAGCTTTTGGAACTTGAAGGGTATTGATCCCAAACTCCTACTCCTCCTGAAAACTGGCCCCCTGAAAAAAACCCCGAGTTTAATTAAAAGCCATTGCAGAGTTCGTGTGTAACGGCGGTGATATTGTGACATTTCACGCAACAGATGAACGTCAATAATGTGTAAATTTCAGAATACGATTGCGTCCAGATATGCACGTCAGTACACCATTCCTGGTTGTAAATTGAACCAGATACATGCAACTCAATTTGCCGAAGCAGTGTAACTAAAACAGCCAGTCTGTCCGGGCCGTCACTACCGGACCAGTTGGTCGTAACCATTTTCGTTTCGAAGCACAATCAGCTGGTCAACCTTACGTAGCCTTTGCTGATAGGCGTTTTCGGTGCAGGAGATTTTATTTCAACACAGCAATTCGCGGGTATGGACTACACTGAGCTGTTTGTTGGCCAAAGGTGAAGAAACGGTGGTCAACTGCGCGAAAGATACCGCAATAAGCTCTTTTGATCGACCAGCACCGGTTAAACGTGTCGCCACTTTGGCGCTTATGGTGCCGACGTGGCGAACAATTACTCAGAATACTTGCAACAATTTGATGTAGGACAACCAGCACCAGGCAGTCAATGAACCTGAAACAAGCAGAGCTACGGATGATGGCTATCCACATCATTGCCAAGGCCAAGGGTTAAAAATGTGCTCAAAACACACTCTGAGTGCACAATTTAATACATGCCACATCTGCTTTTGTGGACTGCTAGAAAGGTCCATATCATTGCACATCGCAAGTGCGGACGACCATACCTGCACACACCATGCAGTGAAAGCTATGCGACTACCTGTTTGTCATGAATCCAACTCCATAGCAAGCTTTTGTGTCCGACAATTTTGATTCTGAGTCATATGTAGATGAGTTCGGGAGTTCGATAGGTGAACTGATCACACTGCATAGGTTGTGCTGGCTTGGCCACGTGCTGCGTATACCAGTCGACCGACTTCCTCGAAGGGCTCTTTTCGCACAAACATGTGAAAGGTGGAGGAGAGCCAGAGGCGGTCAAACGACTTGGCATCGAAGTACAAAAGCCATTACCGGCAAACTCAGCTACGCTGGTCATTGCCGTCTACCTGGATGGGGACCCGAGACGGGCCATATCAATGGCTGGAAACATTGACAGACATGGCTCAGTCGCGCCCTCAATGGTGCTCGTGCATCCAAGCTATTGCCTTCAATGCATAGCTCCCTTCCCAATTCCCCCACTTGACAGTCCACTGGCAGTGATACACTTACGCATTAATTTATCAGCTCCCGTCTCTCGCGGCTACCTCCCCGAATCATCGGTGGACGAAACTGTGACGGCTACAACCACTGTAAAACAAGTGCGCGGTTATTACAGCTGACAACGATGATGAATTCGGATTTTCGGAATAAGGCAGAAGGCCACTTTCCGGCGACTCCTTTGTATTGAACCATTATTTTTCTACTTTGAAAATGCTTATGACGGATTAGAGTTTTCCCGTTGATCACGAGGTTCGATTTCTCAAAAATCGGATTAAAAGTACAATTTAGAGCGTATTCCATGGAGCATACACAGGGGAATTTGAATGTGGTCCGTTTGATCTTCATAGATCACGTTTCTCTTCTGTATCTTGAAGCGAACGAGAAACGTTAGGTTGATAACAAGCGAAGAATGTGGAGAAATATCAGAATGAGCCAGTAAGGGATCTCGCGTATGCAGAGATCCTACCGACAAAGAAATTAAGCGGTATCGCTGCGGAATGGCGACGTGGTCTACATAGATAAGTCTAAGGAGGGTGAAGCAAATATCGTCAATGGGTCGTAGGTCACTAGCTGCGAAGATTGGAAAACTTACTTCCTCCATTGCCTGGGCAGCCTGAATCGCCAACAGACTGCTGCTGGCGTGAGCATCACCGGGATCACCAGGTGCCGTTGTCGTTGCACTACCTCCCCAACAAGAAGTCTTCGGCAAGCGCAACTGGCCCAGTTGACTCGATGCCTTAGCACGAGCCACCTCGCGTTTCCGTTGCTCGGCTGCAAGTCGAAGTTGTTCCTTCATTTGTGCTTGTTCTTCGGCCGCGGCTGCTGCAGCTTCTTCATTAGCGATTCGCTGTAGCTCGGCTTCTTCTGCAAGCTTGCGCTCAAGAGCAGCCGCTTTGCGTCGCTCGAATTCGGCATCCCAGGCCATTTGTCGCTCTTGTTCCGGAGTAATTCTAAGTGATAAGCATCAGAATAGAGGGAATTCCCCGTGCTGAATCTCGAGGTGATTACTCGCTTGCAACTGTCCAAACAAATCACGAACGACTGAGGAGAACTGTACAGTATGGCAGGTAGAGAGTATGCGTGCCGAAGTGGGCAACTACATCTGGACGAAGCTCTAGGTAACGGTCAGTGTTGACAGGACCAGACAATAATGTTGCAACGGACAGCAGGACAATGTTACAACGAACGCATTTGAGGTAGAAAAAAGTACTTATGAAAAAAACGAGCCTGAAAGAATTTTCAGGCTCATGCATACCAAGTAATCTGGTGTGGTAAGGTCTCTGCACTTCATTAGTGGACCGGTCAGGCAGATAACGGCTGAAATCGTTCACAGATACACAGTTCATTTTTTTACACGTTCAGGGTTTATGCGTAGTAAAGTATGTGAATAGTGCAGTTGAGCTACCAAAGGGCCTTCACGGATAGGGGAGAACGACGAATCAATCGAAGGAAACAAAACTAGCAGAACGAGTTGCAACGGTCACTAGACCAGCCTAAGATGGATCACGCAAAATGAGAGATAAACTACAACTTACTTTTTCTTCGATTTCTTATTTTTCTTTTTGGCCTTTTTTCCAGTCACGTCAGCATCACTGGCCAGTTGTTTGCTCACACCAGTCTCAGGAGTTTGATCAGTGAACGTAGCCTGTTGCTGGTTGGGCTTTGCTGAAACAACCCCCGTTAGATTATCTTCCACCTTAGCGGCATCTTCATCCCTTCGGTCTGCAATGGCTTCCTGAGGATGTTGCTCCTCCGTCCTAGTCTGAGCTAAATGGCGTTCCTGCTCAATTCCGAGCCCAGTACTAGCGACAGGCGGGGTTGATGAGGTTAGCTCCTGAGCTGTAGCCATGTGAACTGATGTGGAGCCGTACTCTCTAACCTCGTGTGTAGCTTTAGCGCAGTCAGAAGATGTGGTCTTACTACAGGGATCTGAGTCTACCATCTCCGTGGTCGCCATTGAAAGACCAGGTGAAGCAGCTAACAATTTAGCTGCAGTCGAATTGATAGCAGCTAGTTTGTCAGCCAGCTCTTGACGCTCGGCTTCCACTTTGGCCGCGTGAACAGCTAATGCTTGTGCTTCCGTGTAGAGACGTAGGATTTCCGGATTACCTCCAATTACCGGTGATGGATAACTATCGACCTTAGAACTAGGTAGTGGGGAGGGTTTAGGTGAATCAACCACCGACGGCATAGATTTTATCTGGAAAACAAGAAAAAGGGAGGCTGTGGAGTGGATGAAGATGATGGGATAATGCTCTGCTGAAAACCATCGAAACATTGATGGCGAAGGCCATGAGGGAGACCAGTCGAATACCGTCCCTTCAGAAGGATGAACGTCGTGGAGGGTGCTCCAACTGTGAATTAGGTATTCTTATGTCTAAATATGACATTTACGTTCACCTTCAATTACAAAGCAAGGACAGTACAGCTGGTAACGTGGTGACGAAATTTCTCCAGATTGAAGGGTTGAGAACTCTACAAGCACTATATCATTGGTCTAGTAGAACCGTTCACAAGCAGTAACCATGGAAACCTGGTGATTATAGAGTCATTATGTTACGACAGCGCAAAGACCCTGCGTGCACGGTAGTGATATATCAATGTCATCAACAGTGGCACAAACAGCCAAGGTTGACTGATGTACATTGAGCGTTATAGAAATGTCTTCTTGAATAGCAAAAAGGTGTCCACAGGCTGGAGTATGAGTGGAACCTGTGACCGTGTGCCCAATGATGAGCGATCACTCTAAAATGCTCACTACTCCATCTCATTTCCGAAGGTTGGAACAATATTTGCCTATTTTTACTTCAGGAGCCCATGCCTTCTCGAATACAGATCCGCGTCGTTGTGGAGATTCCGTCCTGTAAGTGAAGCCAATCTATGCTGAAAAGCCGAGAAGCACTGTACAGCTGTTTCATCCTTACTGGGAATCATCAGCAATGTGCATCTCACGAAACTCCGGGAAGTCTCGAACCCGCGACCTCTTGGCTAGCAGTTTGAACACTTAACCGTTCGGTTACGGGCGGTTGGTTTCGCAGACTTCTCGGATACAGTCATCTGTGTAAGCGCGTTTTAAGACACAAGTCCTTTGAACGCTAAAGTCATAAGATTATGGACCTCAGTTATGTTAGTCTAACGCTATGCTATATGTGATACTGCACTCCCGAAACAGGGTAGGACGATGGGTTCTGAAGCCTAGCTGCATCGAGGTAAAATCCCTGAGACTGCCATACTCACCTTGCGGAGCTTCCATCGGTTCAAGCCTGTTTGTTAGGGAGGATTTCACTCAGACAGAACAGCGATACCGACGAATTTACCCCCGTTTTTGGGAAGAGGAGATGGGAGTCCCATAAGACAGGAGGCGTAGCGTGGCTGATCTCTAGTCTCTGTACGAAGCCCGCTAACGGAACAAGTCACACTTGCGAATAGCTGCCATCTCGTTTGGTGACAAAAGGTTGGGTTAATTGAATTACTGACTGTGCTGGACAGGTATTCACGCTTTCGGCGAAAACTTTATACCAAAGAACTGAGAGTATTCTCTGACTCAGTCCTAAGAAATAAATTCAAAAGAAACGCATGCAACTTAAAAGCTCCAACCATGGCGTCTAAAGTTAACTAAGAAATATTACTGAATGGAGATACGTTGACAATCGGGTCTGCAAAGGCTGTGGGTTCGTCATTCTCAACAACAAAAATTTGTTATCTGCTGGTTCGAAAACCAAACTCGAAAGAGATATATAGAGAGATGTAAGTGATTACTTTTATTATGGTGCCAGAGGCGACGACATTATTTCACGGAGAAACCGAAAATCCATCTCAGCTCAAAATCAATGTTGTGCCATAAAAACGGAGTATGGTAAGTAGAACGAACAGAGGAACACATGAGCAGCTTTGTTGAAGGACCGTTGTTCTTGCAAAGCTCCTATCATAATCGTCAGCACATCAGTGTTAAACACTGATGATTCGCTGGCTTATTGTAAAAAGAATAGACTACTGGAGATAAGTGCCGAGAATGGTACCTTAAAAAGGCTGTCACATAGATATGAGTTTCTGCTTTTCCTCACAAGTATCATAAGTCAGGTCATGGGTGATACGCAACGTGAGTGTAGATTCTACAAAGAGAAGAGGGTTACTGCGTACCCTGCAGGTATGCAGCTTAGAGAAGCAGCACGAATCAGTCGCATTTTGAAACGAAGCATATCGTGGTGCCTTAGTGAGTATCATACGATATGAACTGACCAGTCTACTTAACCTTCAGTTTGGGAACTTTGGGCATAATCGTGCCCATGAAATCGGAATGTGTCCGGCTCATCCAGATAAGACTTTTCCTGACTGTTGGTGTAAATATCCCTTGATTAATCCGGTCTAAGTTGACCAGGACACAGCGGGCAATCGGTCTAGCAGAGACAATCGATCAAATCTGCCCTGAACAAGCAGCTTGGTAGTCACTGATCATACACATGGGACAGCAAGCTCATCTTACTCAGTCGAGAAGGCGAAACCAAACAGCACGGGTTCCGCCATCGACTTCATCGGCAACGGCTCTAAGTAAGCCCTGAAACCGGACAAAAATGAGCAATGCGGGAAAACTCGAGGCCTGTACAATGACGCTGCGGTCTCGCTATTCGAATGCTTAGTCAGTCACAGATGAAAAACGGCGAGCGTTTTTGCGGGTGATCTAGTACACTAGACTCGCAAAGTTTCGGCACAGATGGAAGTCCCAGGAGATATGAATTTTTCGAACATAAAAATCAGAAAGACAAGACACAAAGGATAACCGACCGGCTTCCCACAAATTCCCATGACACATGCTTACTGCGATTAGCTGAACGACAAATGGTACCAAGGATACCAAGAGTACGTGTCGTTACAAGCAAAGAAAATGAAAATCTTTTAAGGAAACAGATGTCAGACAAGCGAAGGAAGTGAGCGAATTATGAGCCATTCGAACCCCAAGGACCGCGGTCACTTTCAGTGTAAACTCTAAAGCTTTCACTACAGAATGGCCAGTTGAAGATGATGGAAAAAGTCCCTCTTGGAAGGGTCTCGAGTGATCGAACTGCATTCAATTGAAGGTGGTCTCCTAAGAGACATCTAGTAATGTGGGTCTGTTTACATGAGACAGTTCTAAATCTATTTCATACTACGTGCTTAACTTACGTTCCACCTAACTAAGACAAGACAGTGTTCCCCTAGGGAGCGAGCAAACTTAGGACCATTAAAAACCGCGCTCTCCTCAGAAGCACGCTCTCTTAAGGGACACGCCTTGATCGCATTCTCGTGAAAAAAATTCGTGCACCTGAGGTAGAAATCAGCTAGTATGAGAGGATTCGTTTTTTCTAAGAAAGAAAACTGAATACTGTCACCATGCAGAACGAGTAACAAGATAATAACCTAGACCTTTTTCATAAAGGAAACTACTCACAAGGTTGTAGCACATTCAGTTGAAGAATATCACAAACGGGAGATTCAAGTGAATCTCCCGTGAAAAGCGAGATAACCAAGTGATTGGAGCGCGAATTTACTGACCGGAAGGTCCGTGGTTCGAACCCGACCTGTGCATCTCGACTTCCCCTGTCTAGGCTTGGGCAACCTGGCAGTACTCCAGCCCTCGTGGTTCCTTCAGTTGGTATGGCAGTTAGGCACCGAAAAGGTGCCACAGCTGAAAGATTCTCTCCCGTGAAAAGCAGATTGATATGCAGATAAGTATATCTATTGATCGATCTGCCCTCTTTATTATAATCACCTCGTTCAGTGAATTTGACCATATATGTATCTGACTTTGGTTGTTAGATAAGACAAAGTATTTGGTGAACGAACTGAGTGAAACACCTCTTGCTGTGGACCTATCTGTTGCCAAGAAAAGTTACGACAGGGTGGTCGGCACACACACTTAATGAGATGAATGTCAAATGACACGATATTCGGATGAATTCATCTAGAAATCGATAATCTCACAAAAAGTGTATTCAAATCTTGCGCCTCCATTACCCATCGCCATAGAAATCCTTTTATGGTTGAAATTTACTATTTTAAAAGGTACAGTAGGGTTGGTTGCTGTGTTGTAAGCGCACCTTCGAGCCGCACTGACACTCCTGTAAGACCTGACCCTACTCGGAATACTTGACCACCAAGTGCTTACCACAAATAATGAAAACTCGTTGGAGCTACAGGGTGATGGGGTAGATCGCGCTTTCTTAAATGGGTCTAGCGATACGTCCTCCACAAATCAGATTCCAAAATATCCTAACTGCTTCAGCCATCACTGCCTTGTTAAGAATGGATAGAAATTTAAAATAATTCTGAACTGTTCAGCGTAACATCCACTTAGTATCTGGCTACCATGCCACCCGAGGGAAGTATGAGGGATGAGATACTGCCAAATTACCCAAGACTAAAAAGGATAAGTCGAGAGGCCGGGTTTCGGTTCGAGCCACGGACCTTCAGGTTAGTAAGTTTGCCCCTAAGAATGGATAGAAATTTAAAATAATTCTGAACTGTTCAGCGTAACATCCACTTAGTATCTGGCTACCATGCCACCCGAGGGAAGTATGAGGGATGAGATACTGCCAAATTACCCAAGACTAAAAAGGATAAGTCGAGAGGCCGGGTTTCGGTTCGAGCCACGGACCTTCGGGTTAGTAAGTTGGCCCCTTAATCACTGGGCCATCTCGAGCTCGTTCAGATTGCCTGACCGAAGGATCAAGTGAAAGGACAAAAACGAAATGACACCATGCTCGGACCTGGTGGCTTTGTAGACAGAAGAAATTATTACAGCCGGAGAGGACAGAAAGGTTAGACCTTAGCGGTATCCAAGCCTCGTGCTTCCTTCGGGTGGTATGGTAGCTAGGCACCGAAAGGGTGTTACAGCTGAACGACTTTTTAAATTTTTTATTCATCAACTGTATGTGTCAGCAGTCTTGGTTCAAACAGGCACCTGGTTAAGATGGTTGACAAGGAAACTGAGTCACACAAAATCAAGCGCCGGCAACTCACATTTGATTGTACGGATGGAGACTGAGGCTGTTGAGACTGCGGCTGCGTCTGAAGAGGTTGTGGAGAGGCCGGTGTGGTCAGGCTTGCAGCGGTTGCAAAGAACAGTGCCAAAGCAGGCGCTGCAGCTGCAGTCGCAGCAGCCATTACATTATTGACTGAAGGTGAAAACGGAGGTGGGCCGACAACAAAATCAGCAGGTTGAGGGTTCGGTGGTGCTACTGTGTTTATCCACCGAGGGTTTGGTGCCGGCTTTTTCGAAGCAGCAACCAACGCTGGCAGGTTTGAACGTTTGAGCGGAGGTAACGGATAGCCATCCGAAAACGGAACACGACCAGTGAGGTTGATATGCTCGCCTGAAAAGAATATGGCAGAGGGACTTAGTTAAAATTAACTACAACAAAAATGTGGGCTTATTTGGGAGACAGATCGGAATACGTAAATCAGACGATGTATGAAAAACCTGTCTACATATTTGAAGAGATGTCCACAAGTGAGATCCCCCATGGATAGGCAACGACACTCCATTAAATGATCAAAGGAAATTATGAATTCAGTAGCCCAAATAAGTCGGTCATTGCCCAGCATCGGCAAGCATATACGGCAGTGCTGGTGCCCAACCGGTAACTACGACGACCTATTCCACACATCCACGCCTTATGCCATAGACTGAGAGGAGATAAGCATAGCGAATCTGAACAGAGGAAACTGTCTGGTGTTGCAACCAGTGATTGAAAGACATTAAGCGAGTCTTCTGTTAGTGCTCCTCTGAAGAGGATAAGGGCAACCTTCCCTGTTTTCTCTTCCATTGAAAACCTCGTGAAAAACTGGAGAACGGAATTCGGATAAACGTACCCTAAAATATACAGCCACAAACTTACCGGTCTTCCCGAATAGAACCAAACTGCGCATCACGGTCACATGTATTAACGAGAGCGATGCAATCTGAAGGTACAGTGTTTCTAAGTGTCTCAGTCCGATCGATAAACGAGTGGTAACATCTGCCTGTCTAATAGTGAACATGGCAGATGCTCTCCCGAGTAGAACCAGACTAGTTTTTCATAGGTATTTTGATCGTACCGAACAACGCGCCGGCGGCCATAGCTAATGGAAGTGAATGATCTGGTCCGACAACACAGAGGCTGCTGGAAGTGATGGAGATGGCGGTGACGGGTTCGGAGTTTGTACAGCCAGTTATTTTATCTTTATAGGCCTTCAGTTTATCCATTTATCATGTATGGTGATTTCGTGTGTGACGGTTCTCAGGCTGGACACTGAATTCGTACGCTTGTAACAATCCCCTTCACATTCATAGTCCAATACAAGCCTGGGCATGGCTCTGATTACCGTGATCGCCTTTTTCTCTGGGGTGTACAGCTCATTCGACCGTTTCCTGCTGGGTCACACCTAGCGATACATTACACGTCAAAAGTTGCGTCTCCCGTTGCGGTCCGTTCGTGATAAGCTGAGGATGGTGGTAATCAGGTTTTCGGCGTAACGGGCATTTGTCCAGACTATCAGTCGTCTCCAACGGCTTATCCAGCCGAAGTAGCACCAGTTTTCTTGCGTTTTTGTGGACAACGGGTCTAGAGTAGGACTATGTTATACGGCAGTGGGGCATAGGTGCTGAACACTGATGTCATGCTGTCGATGATGATATTTGGTTCTGTCGTGTGTTGGATCATCCATCGTCGCTTGGATCAGGATTTCAATGTTGGCTACCTGTAGATTCATTGAAGCCACTTGACCCAGCTGTAGCACCCTTTCGGTGTCTAGCTCCTATGTATCCGAAATAAACATGAGGGCTGGAATACAGCCAGGCTACCCAAGCCTAGAGAGAAGTAGTCGAGATGCAGAATCCTAACCAACTGACCGTCTCGAAGATAACGTAAAGGTTGTGATACTCTTTGGAACTCTTCTGTGAATAGGGTGTCTAGATTATCCGGACTTTGCAGACAGGGTAGAGGCCCATCTTTCGCTTGAACCATGCAAGCAAGATACTCGCTCAACCCATTGAGAGTTCCCCTGGTTGTTGTGACTGCTGAGGTGATCGTGGCTGTAACATCCCCAGCTCTTTTTCAGATCTTCTACGTGGAAATCCCTAAAATTCAGGTTAGTTTCACGACTCGCCTTACTAGCTGTTTGCGTAATAACATGCTCGTGTTAACTCCAGATCTGAGGATATTCTCCAGGCTGTATTTTCCATTTGTACGTATCCAGGGCTTCCAAGAATGACTTTTACCGGCCTCGGTTGAGCGGTCGTATCCCCCTGGGCCGCAAATAAGAACCATGCCTTCACCATCGGTGGTGTCGGGCGGACCGATTGGCTGTTTGTTGATCAGGTGTCAGTTGATCCGTTCACCGAGTTTGGAAATTAGCTTGCGAACGGTCCAACATGCGAAAGACGTCAGCGCGAGGCTGGTTGGGTGATTCGTTCACTCCGCCTGCGTTTATACAGTTTCTAAAGCAGAGTTAGTGTCTGCAACGTGACCGGCTGTTTGAGGATTGTTTGGAGCTTAATCTGGGCAGTCATTTCTAGATTGGTGTTGCGTTTTGGTCTCCACATCTTGTATCTGGTTGATTCATCATTTCAGCAGTTCTGTCCCTTCATTCCGATGGGTCCTTTGTGTTTCTCTTGTGGGTACCGTTTCAATCAGTCTTCAGATCATTTGACTAGTCGATTAGACACCTTCCATTTTTAGTAAGTCTTCTTCGGTCTGATTGCTCCGTTTGGCACTCATGTTTCATTGTAGGCCAATTACTGTTCGACGCAGTCACCATTTGATATAGTATTGGATCTTGGCTTGGCTGTGCGTTTGTGTTTTTGATTTTTGCCAAGCGTTTCGCGCATTCTGGTGAATAGTTTTCTCCCAGTTTGTCAAACGTAGTGCCTTTTACAGTATCTACATTTGGTTTTCTACATAATGCCTGTCTTCTTCGTTTTTTCTCCAAGTTCTCATTTTGGTCTTGACAATGTTCATCGGTTTGTGTGCTACCGTCATATCAAGCTGTCGCAACAATCTGACAGTCGAATCCGAGTGTCGCCGATGTACAGGATGGTAATCCGCATATTGTTGAGCTGATCGGGCGACGTGCTCTCAGGGATCTCCGAATAAAACCTTCTGGAAAACCATTGGTTTGAAAGAGCTTGTATAGACGCTTTTCTTCCTTAATCTTGAACTCCGTGATGTTTGAGCGTTTCAGTCTGCTTGACGAGTGTCCCATTGCAGCTTTGCTTGCGGCGGCTTGGCCGCTTGTTGGCCGAGAGATGACAAACATGGCCCGTCAGGTTTACACAGAGATGCGGTATAAACGATCATTGATACTGGAGTTTGAGACATTCAGGAAAACTTACCTAAGGTAAGGAAACATTCATCACAGTCCCGACGGACTTCGATCGTTAGTGGAAGATAGCCCCCAGTGAGCCACGCGGACATTTGTTGTCGGATGAAAGGACCTTGTGTTCGACCCACAGAATCGATGTAGTACCAGCGTGAAGAAGCGGCATCATGCAGTGGAGGATTGGGTGCCTGGGTGTCGCCCATTGTTGACTGTGAGGATACGCTGACTGGCGTCTCGGACGGATGCGGGTTTCTATTCGTAGTGTGCTGAGATGACGCATCAAAGCCGGGCGGCGGGTCAGCTGAGCACGATTTGGAATGAAACCCTGAACCCGGGCTTTGTTAAGATCCTGAACAAAGGGATAGGAGAAAAACGAACATTCCTGAGACTGTGACCACTGTAGCGAATTCGATGATACTGAGTAGCAGAAGCATGTCTGATGAAGCAGTTCCTACTTTTCGGCGTCAACTGAGAAGTATCCCGATCCATTTTGGGAACGGCTAATTTCGCGAGAACCAGATAGATAGGTTCATCCCAAACAAATATCATCAAATCAGCCCCAAATTGTTAGAGGAGCAAGCATATTTTTATCAAGTGTAAACATACACGAGGTTAGTGAGTGAGATGCGTGGAACATAACATCTTGTAAGTTTGGGCAGAGAAACCAGTACAGGAAGTACTATATGAGGTGATTCACGATTACAAACACGTTGCAATATACACACAGATAAATTCAGGCGAAACCGGAACTGTCGTAACAGGGCTTTCACAAAGCACAATGTGCACTGAGCACGAGCTAAAGTCTGCTATAAATAATTTTCAAGTAATTGGGAGAAGCACTACGAACCAGTCAATGATAAGAAAAATACCGACGGTATCCTCGATTGCTTGGTGTGGAAAAGACGAACACGCAAGCCAAGTGGTAAAGTATATCGTGTTTGCCTTTCGATACATGATTTCTAGCCCCCCAAACGGTAGCATTCTTGTTGCGTTTCACAGCCCGAGCAGCGCGTGTTCGTGTTAGAGGCGAGGCAAACACACAGATGCACGCATGACACAAGGAAACATGATTAACTCTGAGGGGCGCAAGTAACAAAGACGAAGTACACACCAGTACAAACTGATGCATAATCAATAAGTACCGCACCATCGTCAGACTAATTTGTGCATATGAACGCGACACGCCGGTTGTGGTGCACAAAGAGTGCTACAGCGAACGACCGATTGTTCAACTGAGTCGTCACTAAATGGCAATGTTAGTAACCCCATGAACCATAATGATTTTCAAAAGTTTCACGTGCAGAGCATAAACAGGGTTGGTTGGCACCTAAGCAAGTTGTCGCTACAGGGTGCTGTAATCCTAAACAACTGACGATTCCAACATTTCTAGAATTAAGAATTGGGTAGGGAAACTGTTAGGAATCCTGTTCGGGGCGATAAACCATAAAATTGATTGACCGTATGGTGAAAGCTGGAGTGAAGGCGAGCAAGGTTCCATTAACTAAGAACATGAAATGATGTGGAAGCTGGAGATTGCGATCTCATGAATAAAACTTTCTACGATATTTTTATCAAACAAGTAGCCATCAAAGGCTCCATACGAACCGTTAGATGATGAGGAACACTAAAATATCTAGGCCCATCTGTCCACCATGAATGAATGCAATCATTCTAGTTGCTTTAAGTTAGTCCCTGGAATAAACAGTTCAATTATCTTCTCTACATGGCTATCTTGTTTAATGCTTGAATCAGTGATAATGATGTCTAAGCAATAATGATGCCAATCGCATGACCCAGAACGATAGACAGATAGTTCCAAAACAAACGCCACTCGGATGTTGCGCAGTCAAGGAACTTTTCCACTGTGCTCGCCGCCAGCTGGTGGCGGACCAGGGTCTAGCTAGCGACCGTAAGACCTATTGATGGTGGATTTGTGTTGTTACAAAGGTAGAGGAGTACGAGGGTCGGGTTGCAGGAAGGGGACTGCGACGCTGATAGCGCTTCTTTTCTCATTTCAACCAACCAAAAATTCCTTTATGCGGGCAGCACAAAGACCGCGGATTGTGGTTTGGTATGAGTACACGACTTGGAATAAGCGACACACCCTGAATGTAGTGTCGGAAAAGAAATATGGAATCGAGACATGCAAAATCCCTCGATACCAGATCACTGTAGCCCTTTGATTTGCACACGCGAGCATAAGGTTCGGATGCATTTTCGGAGGGCACAGTCCAAGGCAGTGAGGCGGTCACCAAAATTGGCTTCCTCTAGCTCTAGCATAGAAGAACAGCTAGGTATGATGAAGCTCCCCATGCCAAGAATATACATCAGTGGTAGGAGAAGTACAGAAGCTTAGTGTCGTCAACATGCTGCTGATGATGATGATGCCACGAAAATGCTGATACGAAAACACACGTGAATGCATTGGCAGCTGCGATTCAAAATATTCGCGAGGCCAACCGCTACTGGACAAGAATAAAGACAAGTAAATGCCTTCCTGAGCGGGATGTAAAGATAAAATATGAAAACAAGGGATGCGATATTCTATAGCCCCTTGATTTGCACGCACGAACAATCGGCTGTGGTTGGAGTTTCAGAGGGCAGAGGTAGAATTCATAAAATAACGGGATTGAGCAAATTTTGTCTTGGGATCTAGCACGGATGGGTGGTGGTTTAACGAGACAGAGTCCTCTACATGCGGAAAAAAAACCTTGAATTGTAGCAATGACACACAGAAAGGCAGTGAAGTTGTTGAAGAAAACATATAGACAATTAGGAATGCCCGTCTACCAGTGAGCTCATGGGAGGCAAAATAGCGCAAAAACGAGGGAGAAAGTGTAGGATAACGTGGTGGAATAGTGCTTACTGGTCGAGTATGAAAAACAGCGCGCGCGCGCTGGAATGCAGTCGATTGTGTCAAAGCTCATTACCAGAATCTGATATCAAGCGGCCTAACGAGTTGTG